TTGAAGAACTACAGACCGATTTCACTTCTGAGCCGCGTCTACGTGCTGTTTTCGAGAGTCATTACGAATCGTCTCGCACGCAGATTCGACGAATTCCAGCCTCCCGAACAAGCCGGTTTCCGAAAAGGCTTCAGTACCATAGACCACATACATACCCTGCGGAAGATTGTACAGAAGACCGAAGAGTACAATCTGCCACTTTGCCTGGCGTATGTGGACTATGAGAAAGCCTTTGATTCCGTCGAAATTTGGGCGGTGCTACAGTCCCTTCAGCGGTGCCAAGTTGACTGTCGGTCATCTTGGCACCGCTGAATATCGAAGTGCTGAAGTGTTTGTACAGTAGGGCTACGATGGCTATCCGAGTACAGAACCAGAGTTCGAAACCTATCCAACTGCAGAGAGGTGTAAGACAGGGTGACGTTATATCCCCGAAACTCTTCACCGCTGCGTTGGAAGACGTTTTCAAGCTACTGGACTGGAAAGGATACGGTATTAACATCAATGGCGAGTACATCACTCACCTTCGATTTGTCGACGATATAGTCCTTATGGCAGAATCGCTGGAGGACGTTAGCACTATGCTCAATGACCTTAATAGTGTCTCCCAACGGATAGGTCTTAAGATGAACATGGACAAAACAAAGATCATGTTTAATGTCCATGTCACACCTATGCCGGTAGTTGTTGGGAGCACTATGCTCGAAGTTGTTGACGAGTACGTTTACCTGGGACAAATAGTCCGACTAGGTAAGTCCAACTTCGACCGAGAGGTCAATCGACGGTTTCAACTCGGCTGGGCAGCGTTCGGGAAATTACGACACATCTTCTCGTCAGGTATACCTCAATCTCTGAAAACAAAAGTGTACAACCAGTGCGTGTTTCCAGGGATGACTAACGGATCTGAGATGTGGTCCTTCACTGCTGGCCGTATGAGGACGCTCAAGGTCGCTCAGCGAGCTATGGAGAGGGCTATGCTCGGAGTTTCTCTGCGTGATAGACTCAGAAATGAGAATATCCGCAGTAAAACCAGAGTGACCGATATAGCCCAACGGATTAGTAAGCTGAAGTGGCAATGGGCCGGCCATATAGCTCAAAGAACCGATAACCGATGGGGAAGAAAGGTTCTCGAGTGGCAGCCTCGTACCGGTAGGCGTAGTGTAGGGCGACCCCCCACTAGATGGAGTGATGACCTGGTGTCTTACCAGGAATGTCATGCAGGAAGTCGATGGATGCAGGTGGCTCAGGACCGTGCTTTGCGTCATTGCTTGGGGGAGGCCTACGTTCAGCAGTGGACTTGTGAAGGGCTGTAATGATGATGATGATGATGATAATAATTTTGCTTATCTATGAATTGATATTAAGCTTTCTATTAAAATATTTTATGTTCGTTTTTTTATAGCATTAGATGACAAACGAGCGCACAGTCCACCTGATGGTAAGTGAATTCAGTGGCCCATAAACATCCACATTTATCCTCAATTAAGAATCAAAATGCAAATGCGTTGTCACCTCTGAGGACTAAAATGGAATGCCTCGATTGCAGTAAAAAGGTTCTCCGGTTCTCTACACCAACGTACGAAACACAGCAGCATTACGTTGTTATTTTACGCTGGTATTCTGTGAGAGCGTGGTCCTGCCCCGGTTGGGCCGATCCATTCGTGCTACAACTATAGAGAAGCAGCTTGGATCTACCACGTACAGGAGTTCGTGTGTAGATATGCTTAAAGTATGCCTATTATGTATTATGTATTATTTAAAAATATGCACATGCTATTTATGTATAAGGTATAGACTATATCACGTAGATTATTTGTGGTAATATATATTAATAAGTATATTCATATATTTTTAACGTGATGATTGATAGTGAGTGTCTTACCAGTTCTTCATTTCATTTAATGAAGATTTGCCTTATAGTTCATAAAAGATAGCTTGATCTCTGCGACAGCTGTCAGTAAAATCACGCCTATGAAGTCCTGAATTTCTTAGTAGTACAGACGGTACCTGTCGATGTCATACTTTATGGGCATGCCGACCTAATTAGTGCATGACATTGACAGGTACTGTCTGTGCTACTAAGAAATTCAGGACTTCATAGGCGTGATTTTACTGACAGCTGTCGCAGAGATCAAGCTATCTTTTATGAACCATAAATTTCTTTTTTTGCTAACACACGAGAACCCTTTTTTCCCAATCAGTTGTCGATACTTCGAGCGATATGGCCAAGCCATTGCTTCTTAATCTTACTAATTCGTTTTTTTTTCAGGTTTTTATCGATACTTCGGATGTAAGGTAGACAACAATTTTGTATCATTTATTCAGAAAAGTATAACTAAATATATACTAATAAATTCTAAGCATATATGAATAAATACAGTTTATAAAAATATTTGCAATATATGTTTTTTAACTTCCATTTTTGCGTTCTAAAATTAAAACCGTAAGTTGAAGTGTCTTAATTTTACGGGTTTTGAGGATATTGTAATGGCTACTATACATACATAACGGTATGGTCTTTTTAATCTATTTAATCTTTATCGTACACGCCCTATGTTAAGCAGTGGCAGCAATTTGGGTACGTGCCTAGTTGCGCAAGGTTCCAAAGAGAGGGGTGGAGGGCATAAGTTAACACATGTAGGTGTGTAGGTACTTACATAATATATAAAAATATAGTTTATATTGAGATTTTTTCAAAAGTTTCTAAAGCGCGCCTACTATCTATCTACTTGATTATTTCTACATCGCCCTCATTCTTTCACCACGTTTCAAATTTTTTTTAAACAAAATTATATTATTAACTATAATGTAAAGTACATATGTATTTATATATATGTATGTATATGTTTGTATAGTATGTATAGATAGGAGATATTTCTATAGTTTATATATCACTAAAATGTGTACATTACGTAGTTAATTATCATTTTTATTTTGTTTTTTATTCTATATTAGTACACCTGCGTCAAATTCTCACCACACCACGGGTTGCCTGGTAGGGAATGCCTCAAGGCATTAAATCCGTCCTTATTTTCTTGTATATTAAGGAATGCAATAAAGAATAAATAACTAAATAAAAAATAGTTTAGTCAAGGTCGCTGACGATATTTAATCCGCCTCTGATGTTAAGGACTATAAATTGCAGATTAAATGCTTTATGAAAGTCTCTAGTAGATTATATCCTATTTTATTGTTTACACCACACGTAATTATCCCTATTGGAAAAGGCCAATGCCCAATACTGCAATTATACAAGCTGAAGATGAAGAAAACCATCGTTATCACATTTGGGTTTTTTTTATTTTCAAAGTTTCCTTAAGGTGATGTGGGTGCCAAAGGCAGATTTTTCGCGCTTTAAAAGTACAATTTTTTTGTCAATAAAAACTACGAATTCACATTTTTTTAAATTCATTATGAAAGTTAAAGATTTTTCTTAGTGAATTAAGGTGGCCAAAACACGATTGACAAAATTTGGCTCGAAAGAAAAAGATTGCAAAGTTTCCTCAAAATATATAATTTTAGGTACTGGTCCACTAAGTGAAAAAATAGTTTCATTCGAATGTAATGAAATCGATTACAATTAAATTCAGGCTATGTGTTCACCAGTAAATACGTGAGTAAATTATGGGTTTATTTTTGAATAAAAGAGTATATATCATTTTAAAAAGAAATATCAAATAAATATTGTGCGATTAAATAGCGCGCGGGCCGACCAAACAGTCCATATAAAGCATGAAAAATCTGCTTTTGACGCCCAGTTCACCTTAAGAGGATACCTTGAAAATGAATCAAAGTTTTGGGGGCGTGGCTTATTCCTTTGTCGGTGAAGCTAACGGACGACTGCGGGAGTGTCAAAATGAAAGTGATGCAATGACTTCATAGTACGTAAATTATGAGATAACCATACCGAGCTTGCGCTCGAAAAAAACTAAGTAAGCGCCAAACAACATTTTTATTTATTTTAACAAAACTTCGTTATGGATTCAAAAACTGGTTTATGAGAACTTAGATATGATTATTTACTATGCCTTAAAAATAATTCCATGAAATTATTCGTAGGAATATTGTGTTTTCTTTTTATGCAAAAACACAAACACGGTAATTTTATCTATAGACCACACTTGACACCGCGAGTAGAACGGCTCAGCTTATGCCTAGCTCGTGCTCGTCTCTAGCGTAGACTCACCTTTAGATTTTTACGCGTGAATTTGGGGTAGGATGGCCGGATGGCGTAGTACCACCATGACAAATAAATCCAATAAATTAACAAACTTGTCGAGTATCGATGAGATCTCAAAACCAAATAAACAAAAATTAGAGCTAATTTGTTATTGATTTTGTGTTAAATGTTTAACTGCCCCGTAAGTCTAGTGGTGGTAAGCGTAAGGTTCGAATCCTGGGTCGATCCAAAATCAGTTAATGGGTTTTTTTTATCAAGAAATTTTCAGTAGCAACCCTGAGTCAGGAACTTGGTGGTAGCCCTTTTTCCATCTCATAGGACTATGAATGTGAGGGGATAGAGAGAGCACCTTTGTTTGTGCGCACATTCGAACGTTAAAATTCTGCCCTGCGCTGATTGTAAGACTCGATTGTTGGCCTTCTTGACCGAAATTGGTCTGAGGGACATTATTATTATTATTTAAATAAAGTTAAAGTTACTGTCTATAGGTATACGTCCCACTGCTGGGCACGGATCTCCTCTCATTTCTGAAAGGGTTTTAGGGCAAGGAGGCCTCCGCGCTGTCCTAATGCGTATCGGAGAATTTCACATGTCTCCGAAATATTTTTTTCTTATTCCTCAGACATACAGGTTTCCTCACGATGTTTCCTTCGCCGTCGAGCACGGGGTAATTCAGCACTTAAAATTGCAATTAATAATTTCATTGAAATATAATATCAATTGAAATATACAGCGAGCGCTTATCCCCTGAGCTACCATGGCACGGTACTACCTCGGCTCATTATTTAAATGGTACAACATATTTTAAAACATTATAATTTACCTGCGAGAAAGGCCACGTCATCCAGATCCTGATCCACCATGTTTCGCCAAGCAGCTGTTAAAAAATAACGAAATATATCATTATATATATTGATGTTAACTGATAGACGACTGTTATTTCATTTTGCAAAAAGCTATGTTTTATGGTAATAATCAACAAACAAACAATTAGACAAATAGTCCACCTGATGGTATGGGCATTTAGTAGCCCATAGACGTCAGTAGAATATTATATTGAAAAATTGGACAAAAATAGTTATTATAATATCAAAGTATACGTAAATGAAAATAACCCCATGCCAACATGCTGGTTCTATCGAAATTCATTTAAAACTTGTAATAACAAAATCATTGTAAAGTGAAATATGCTTAGAAAAGGCCCGCTGGGTTTCTTGCTGGTTCATCCCTGGACAGAGATATTTTCCGAACCAGTGGTAAGTAAAAAATGACTTTCAATAAGTAGGTATTATGTAATAATCTATATTGAATAAAAGAAAATCGTTCATTTCAAAAATCATTCATCGTTCATTATATCAAAGAAGCATAATTCCGCTGTTTCTCTTTTCTTAAAATGAGGTGGCAAACAAACTTACAGTCCACCTGATGGTAAGTGGCTACCTGGCCTGGTGGCCCACGAACACCTGCTACCAACATTAAACCAACAAGACTACAGATGCATTGTCACCTCTGAAGACTAAGATGGAATGGCATTCCATCTTAGTTCCATCTTAAAGATAATTACAATTAAACCGACTCTAATACCCTTCAGACACAGCAGTGGACATGACACACGACGACAGTAGCAAATGAGTTTTATTAAATGTGTAGAGTTCTCTTAAATATTACTATAAGAATAATAAGGTTGTGTATATTATGATATAAAAATCTAAACCCGAAAAAAAAAACAATTGAAAACCCGATTTTGAGAAATAAATTGCCTAAAAATATTTGAATTTAGAATTCAAAATTCAAACCATATATAGCTATTAGAGTTCAAAGTGGCCAGTGCAAAAAAAATGGCTAGCGTTCAAAGTCTTTTTGAATATCCATGTGCAATTTATTAATGTAAAATATCTTTATGTTGCAGGAGAAATTCCAGCTTTCAATGAATTTTAATTTTTTTATAGAATAATGGTGACAAACGAGCACACTGCAGCTATATTATGGTTGTAGCACGAATGAGTCGAGTCGAGTCGGGGAAGGAGCCCGCCCTCACAGAAAACCAGCGTAAAATAGCAGCTTAATACTGCTGTGTTTCGTATGGTGAGTGTACATCCGGAGACCTTTTTTTCCTGGAAACGAAGCATTCCATCTTAGTCCTCAGGGGTGGCAACGCATCTGCGTTTTGATTCACAGCATCCACTTACCATCAGGTAGACTGTGTGCTCGTTTGTCACCTTTATTCTATAAAAAATGAGAAAATATGTGCAAGTAAGGGTCTAAAAAAAAAAGATTCTTCATCACGCGCTTATCTTTCTCTGCCTCTGTATTTTCCTGCACATTTTGCATGACACGCTTACCTTTGGCTGAACCGTTCCTGTCGGCCTTATATTTGCCGATCGGCTCCATTTGTATGCCGTCCATTTCACACCGACCACGCCATGCCGACGTTTAACTGTTAACAAAAAGATCCATGTAAAGACAAAACGTTTTTTAATCTACTGTAGTTACTAAATAACATAGGACTTTATGGATAACACCATAGTGAATGTGTAAGAGAATTGTTCATCATCTCATTTAGACGCCTCATTTAGAGGCAGTGGCCGAAGGTTCTGCCGCAACTTTGCGGGGCCGCGGGCTCGAATCACACGGAAGAAGTATTTTTTTTGGCTTACAAATAATTGTTTCGGGTCTGGCTGATTGTCGTGGTAGAGCCAAGCTACAGCTATATTATGGGTGTAGCACGGATAGGTCGGCTTATCTAAGAAAAGGACACGCTCTTACGGTATACGAGTGTAGAGAACCCGAGACCCTTTTAAATGAAAACGAAGCCTTCTATGTTAGTCCTTAGGAGTGACAACACATGGGGTGCGAAGTCAGAAGTCCTCCACGTGTGCCTGGTAGTTGCGGGTCCCTCTCGATACGTCTGGAGGGAAGAGCAGCAACTGGGCCGGTGCACCCTGGGCGCGGCGGTAATCTTCCTCGAGAAATGAGAAGAAATTCTTATTCCTTGGGGAATGTTGCTGCCGCGGCTAATTATTCTGACATGGGGGGGTCCATCCCGGACCAACAGTGCGTTCCTCTGCGTGACCCTCTGATCAGCAGAGGGCATAGCAGAGGAGCGAGGGCGGGCTCGGTGTGCACTTACCCTGCCTCCGGGCAGACAGTGAAGGATTCATCCTTTGCTGTCACCGCCGGTCTCGTAATCCCAGTCGAAGTGTCGTGGATCATGTCTCGCGGCTTTGATAAGGACCGAGGGTCTTGGCTTAATCGCCCGGACCGCGAGGGAGAAAACCTCTATAAAAAGTTACCCCGAATCGCAGGGCGCCCTGCGGACTCTCCGTCCGCATACCGGCCCGTGGTGCTGCTCGACGAGGTGGGCAAGCTCTTTGAAAGAGTCATTGCAAACCGCCTCGCCGAGCACCTTGCGGAGACGGGGCCGGATCTTGCGGAACACCAGTTTGGTTTCCGCAAGAGGCGCTCTACGGTGGACGCCATCATGCGCGTGAGAGCCCTCACGACGGGGGATGCAGTGGCCAGAGGGGGGGTTGTCTTGGCGGTGTCTCTCGACATCGCCAACGCCTTCAACTCCATGCCCTGGAGCTGCATTAGGGAGGCACTCCGGTATCACCGGGTGCCGACCTATCTCCGTCGTATAGTCGGGGACTACCTGACGGACAGGGCCGTCATCTACCCCGGTCGCAACGGTGAGTGGAACCGGCGAGAGATGTCGTGCGGTGTCCCACAGGGTTCGGTTCTGGGGCCACCTCTGTGGAACATCGGTTACGACTGGGTGCTGCGCGCCGACCTCCCTACCGGCGTCAGCGTAGTTTGCTACGCTGACGACACGCTGGTACTGGCACAAGGGGGGTCGTACGAGGCGGCGGCGGAAAATATGACACGCGGGGTTGCGATAGTCGTTGAGAGGATTCGGCAACTGGGTCTCGAGGTGGCTCTGCACAAGTCCGAGGCCATGCACTTCCATGGTCCTCGGAACAGGCCACCACCGGGATCCTCAGTGATGGTAGGAGGGGTATCCATCGACGTCGAGTCGACGCTGAAGTACCTAGGACTCGTCCTCGACGGCCGATGGAACTTCGTTGAGCACTTCCGACGTTTGGCTCCCAAACTGGAACGGACCGGGGCTGCCTTCAGGCGGCTCCTGCCGAACCTGGGAGGGCCAAACGCCTCCTGCCGGAGGCTCTACGCGAGGATCGTGTGGTCCATGGCCCTTTACGGGGCCCCGGTGTGGGCGCGTGGTTTGGCGCGGCTTGCCGTCCACCACCTGAACGCGCCCCAAAGGGTGATAGCCGTGAAAATGGTTCGCGGCTACCGCACGATCTCCCGCGAGGCGGCGAGCCTCCTTGCCGGATTGCCGCCATGGGATCTGGAGGCGATAGTCCTCGCGCGCCTGCACGAATGGCGTGCGGAGGCACTATGCCTTGGGGAAACCCCGCTGCCGCGGCAAGTTGTCGCGCAGCGGACAGACTTCCGGCACGATCTCATGGCGACATGGAGACAGCGACTGTCGCAACCCCGTGCTGGGCACGCCACTATAGCGGCGATAAGACCCCTCTTTGAGGAGTGGCTTGAGAGACGCCACGGCATCCTCACCTTCCGCCTGACGCAGGTCCTCACCGGACACGGTGTGTTTGGGAGGTTCCTGCACCGAATCGGGCGGGAGGAAACGCCCGGGTGCTCCCACTGCGAGGATGGACCGGAGGACACGGTGGAACACACCGTGGAGGTGTGCCCTGCTTGGGCGGAGCACCGCCGGGTCCTCGTAGCGGCGATAGGCGGCGGCGACCTCTCGCGTCCGGCCCTGGTCGAAGCCATGGTCCGGAGCGAGACGGAATGGGATGCCGTCACCACCTTCTACGAAGCAGTGATGCTAGCGAAGGAGGTGGCGGAGCGGGAGAAGGAGAGAGCAGCAGCTTTCCTCCCCGGCCGCCGCGGGAGACGCCCCGGGCGTCGGGGGCTACGTCGTGGCCCCCGGCCACCGTAGGCGCGGGCCTGTGGACGGCGAGCAATGGGTAGCTCGTCGTCCGTCCGTCTAATGACGACAGGCCGTGTCGACGGCGCGTTTTGTTCCACGCGCGCCTCAAAGAGCTGTCAGCAGCGTGAAGGGGCCCGCAAGGGCCGACGCCTGCCGGGGCTGCGGGCTGTTCGAAAGAGATACCGCGGCTCCGGAACGTAAGGGCACTGAAGGAACACGGATGGTTTTTAGTCAGTAAAAGTCTGACACTCCCTTACGCTCCACCCAGAGCGAAAGGGGTCATTAGATGATTTTCCATCCGCAAAAAAAAAAAAAAAAAAAGGGGTGACAACACATTTGCATTTCGATTCTTAACCGAGAATATATGTAAATGTATATCTATTGGCCACAGCATCCACTCACTATTAGAATGACTATGTGCTCATATGTCATCCTTACTTCTATTAAAGAAACGGTACTAATCTCTCACAATTGACATGACAAGACAAAAAAATACATTTTTTTTAAAACGCGTGAATAAATGCGCAAAAGATGCAAAGTGCACAAACCATTCAGCCTAACTTGTTATACAAACTGAACCAACCCTAGGGGACTTTGTAAATGCTCTATTAAGGTTTTTGTCTTTAACATCTAAACGCGTTTTTCCACTCTGTCGGAGATTTACATATGCTATACGCTAGAATATATAATAAGCTTTAATTATTAAATGTTCCATGAAAAATTAGGCAAAAATGTTTTACGAATCACTTTAGTGTTAATCCATCTGTTTGTGAATACACAATATGCATTATGGCTGCAGCACAACTGGACCAGGATAGGACCATGCTTTCGAAGAATAATCATCATCGTCATCATCACAGCCCTTCCCAAGTCCACTGCTAAACAAAGCCCTACCCCAAAAATGCAGAATTTCGAAGAACACAGCCATAAAATAGCAGCATAACGCTGCTGTGTTCCGTATAGTTACCATGGAATATAATATTTAATTTATATCTTATCTTGTCCTACTAGAGATAGCGAAACTGATCTTTATTGTTTTTCGTCTCAATAAAATTACGGTCGTACCTAATGTTCAAACTATCTCTTGTTTTTACATACAAAACATAGCCTTTCATTTTTTTATAGAATAAGGGTAACAAACGAGCACACAGTCCACCTGATGGTAAGTGGATGCTGAGGCCCATAGACATCTACATGTATCCTTGATTAAGATTCATAATGTAGATATGTTGTCATCCCTGAGGACTAAGATGGAATATCGTATCCAGTAAAAAGGGTCTTCGGTTTTCTACACTCACCATACGAAACACAGCAGCATTTAACTGCAATTTTACGCTGGTATTCTGTGTGAGCGTGGTCCTAACACGATCAAGCCAACCCATTCGTGTTACAACGATAAAATAGCTGCAGCGTGGCTCTACCACGTTAAAATTCTCTTTCATAATTTCTTTCATTTTTTCGTCTCAATAACTCACTGACGTTAGGCGACTCAATCTCTGGGTGCAAAAATACGTTGTCACCCGTGAGGACTAAGATGGAACGCCTCATTTCCAGTAAAAAGGATCTCCGGTTCTCTACACTCACCGTACGAAACACAGTATGTGTGCATCAGATGCCATTTTACGCTGGTATTCTGTGAGATTCCTTACCCAGTCGAGCCGACCCATTCGTGCTACAACTATACTACTAATATAACTGCAGCATTACTCTACCACGTAAAAAAATAAATTAAAATAATAACGGGCTCGAGTTCCTGTAAGAATTCATGTGATATTGATCTTTTTAAACAGATAGGTAACTAGGAATTAGGCCAGGTCAATGTGCCGTGCAGTGGCGGTGTGAAAATATCCACTACCCCCATATCATCCCGTGGGTGTCGTAAGAGGCGACAGAGGGAGATAAACCAGGAGATGTGCAGCAGCTTCTTCTTTACAACTTAAATAAGGAAAACTGCGGTTGCCAACTCATTCACCAAGCTTGGTAACTATGGCTAATATCCCCCCCCCCCCATGAGGCTAACTGATGTGCTGTAATGCTGATAATGATTATATGCTTGGTAAAATACGAGCAAATTATAAGGAGCGTGTTAATTATAACGTGTAAATATAAATATTGTTACGCGCCGAAGTCGACGGCACTAGCGCCATCTAGTATCAAATTGAAGAACTAAACTTTCTAGAAGCTCTACACTCGATCTTTCTGCGCTTGGTCGGTTGGCGCGCGTATTTACTTGAATATTCTGGAATATTCTGGATGTTTTCGTGGAAGAGCCCTATATAAAGGCGCTGCAATACGCGATCGGGGAAGTATTGAAGTTGGCGAGACACGCGAAGCTTCGGAGCGGAATAAAGTGAATCAGTGTGATTAATTATTAGTGTTTTTTAACTTTAATTATTGTAAAGTGAATTAAAGTGTTAATTTAGGTAAT